TTTTTTTTTTTTTTTTTTTTTTTTTTTTTTTTTTTTTTTTTTTTTTTTTTTTTTACTGGAGGCGAGAATTTGTAAATACAATTTTCGATTACTTGACCAACTTGAGGGTTATTGGCATAGCTCTATGGTTATTGGTGAAACTTTTGTAAGTGTCTAAGGCACAATAATATACGCTTGCAAAGTTCCGCGTGAGAGGGAAAAAAAAACATTCCAGTTAATGTCCAACGGTTAAAAGATTTTATATGAAAACGAAAAAAAAACCGAAAATAAAAACGGCATCTCTCGTCAGTGGAAATTGTTATTATTATTATTTTTATTTTACTTTAGACCTCACGTTTGTTTGGTCACCTTTAACCACGAGTTATCGATACGATGACTAGTGTTCGAATTCAAGAATACCTTCTTGAATAATGGATAATGACAACTAAATACTGAGCTCTCATGCATTAAACAAGAGTTACTTGAAAAAAGAAAGAAGAAGAAGAAAAAATGATATTTATATGATATAATATATTATAGACAGTAAATACAGTAAGCACAAAGACATTGCTCTGCTCAACTGTGAAAAAGCATTACAACCGTATGTAAATATAGAAAACAAATTATTCATATCTAGTATGCCACATAAGTATTTCCACATAGAATCATAGAATATAATTTAAGCGATACATATCATGTTGCTATATACGTATATCTAAATACACCATCACCATCTTTGAAACAGAAGTGAAAATAACATTACAACGTTATTAGTTCTCTAAAAAAAGTCTAATGTACACTGTCGAGTATTATAGAAGAAAATATGTAAGTATATAAAAAAAAAAAATTACAATGACAATGTAGATTTTAGTAAAAATCGTTCACCAACGTATAAAAAGGGGTGCAGCTTCATACGTGTCTTCGCAATGTCGTCCAAACACCGAAACTCACAAATAATGCAATTAAGTAGAAGAAAGTTACGAGTAAAAAGCTTAAAATGTACTACGTCAAGTTGGTAATTTTTTATATCGTTCGTGGATACTTTTATTGTTTGATGTAAGATAAATTTTGACCTATTACACCGACAGTACAATTATTATGAATATATCAAATACGTAGAAAAATACGTGTGTGTATATATATATATAAATCGTTATAATTAGAGTAGAAATAGCAATAATAATTACAGTAATAGTAGTAGAATTATAATAATAAAATAATTGTTATAATATGTAATAATCATAATATTATTATGTATATTAATAATAATAATCAACACTTTTCCGACTTTGTTATTTATTTTGTTTCATTGTAACCCTGTCACAGCTTTGTATTCGTGTATATCAATATACTAACACTTTGTTCCCATGCCCCGTTAATACAATCCTGCTTAAACAGTATGACTCTTGAATCTTCCTTTAATTATTGTTTTTCTCTCTCTTTTTTTTTTTTTTTTTTCTTCTCGTGTGTACTTTAAATGCCAGAGATACAGTGCGGGGGAGGGAGAAAAAGAATAGGGCGAGTCTCGAGCACGATAGGGTTCCTGTGTATAAAATCCATGTATCACATGCAATGCCTTGCTATTTGCAGCTCACACGTATTCCTTGACACATCAAATGTGCAACGTCGAAACAATATAAAACGAATACACGCGCAATTCGTATTCAATAAAATTTTTTCCTAATTCGATTATTCCTCGTCACCGGAGACTTCGATAGCCAAATCCGCGAGAGCGTCGCGCGTCTATAACGTACATACTTCCCTCTTCCTTTGCTTGCACATAAATATATAACAGTTACCGATTGCGTTTGGCCTGCGCGAAAGAGAGAGTGACACACGATTTCATGTATCCTCTCTCAACACTTACACGACTCCCATATACTCTCTCAACATGGTAATTACACATTACATGTATATTATATAATACAACAGTATCCGTTACGTATAGGGCGTTTTTCGTTTTGTCGTTTCATTTCTTTTCCGATGATCATCGAAGCTTCCTTATTTGTTTGCGATACGGCGACGCGGTTCATTCCCTTCGCGGTCCGGAGGTCCTCGTCACCTCATCATCGTTTACTCGGTATGAAACTCATACTCCCAAAAATGGACATCACGCGGATCTGCTTACTGCAGCGAGTCACAGCCACCAGTCACTCCGACAGTAGCTTCTGCAGCAGCGACGCAGACTTTGGATCACCTCGGGCCGCCTCTTCCATAGTAGTCTGAAAAACCATGGTTTTCATTATTTTTTCCTTATATTTCTTTTTTGTTTTTGTTTTGTTTTTTTTTTTTGTTTTTTTTTTTTTTTTTTTTTTTTTTTTTTTTTTTTTT